TCCATGTTAAAGATTATATATTATCTAAAAATTAAGATCAAATTACATTTAAAAAATATATTTATTGCCAAGCCCGTATTTCTACATTATGTGGGCTGGCCGCATAGAAACCGTGTCCTTAAAATAGATATAAACTCTCTCCCTCTCCTAAAATAAGTACCTAATTTGTCTTTCAAAAATGAGAATACTTTCTTATCTCTTCCTTTTGAAATATTAAGTTTCTTTCTTCTCCTCTTTCATCAAATACCCCTAAGGACACATCATAACTCAAATTTTTATTATTCTTATTCCACATGTTTTAGTTCAATAAACAATCCATTCCTATACAATAATCACATTATAGCAGGTATAGTTTAGTCATTATAGCAGGTATAGTTTAGTGGTAAAAGTGATGCTACTATCTTTATAGAAGTAGGTCTTTTTTTATTTTCACTACTTGTGTCACCCTTTAACCCCGGCTTAATGATAGTTTTTCGGTGAGAGAGACCCCTTAAATCTCTACTGACTTACCACTTTTCCTTACCTAAACGAGAGATATGCAAGAGTAACTATACTAGAATTTTTGGATTCTTATCTCCATTCATGCTTCACAGTTCACATGTGATGAAAGGTAAAGCTACTTGCTCCATAAGTTTAATATATTAACAAATAATAATAATAATTTTATTTCCTTAGATGACACAATTGAAAATTTTATGAAAATTTTCCTTAAATTTGCTTTTTGCCCGGGTATTCTACCCTGTCTCCTTTAAGTCTATCTATTTTTTTTATTTTCTTTCCATTTTCTCTCTTTATCTGTCTATCTCCATGTACTTTTTCTCCCAATGTCTTCACCACGTCTGTCTCTCACAATCTATTTCTTTGATTTTCTTTCCATTTACTCTCTAAGTCTCTCTCTCTGTCTCTCTCTCTACTTTCTCTCTTAATGTCATCTCTATGTCTCTCTCCCTTTCTCTCACTTCAAAAATAGAAAGTTATCTAACCACACGATTCTCTCTCCCAATTCCCTACGTACTCTTTCTCTATTACTAAACATGGTAAGCATCTTTCTCTCTCTATTGTTTGTTCTGTATTAAAATAGGTGCATACTTTATCTCTTAAAATATGTGCCTAATCTCTATCTCTAATATGAGAATGTATCATACCATCTCTTTAAAATTAAGGGCTCATTTTGTAAAATGTGTCCACCCCTAACTCTGGCTTAATAATGTAGTATAAATAATATCATCCAATATTATAATATAGAGAATCATTAGGCACGTCCAAGCCCACACCCGTTATTATGGACACTTGGAGATCTACACCATCCACCAAAGAAAGTGTAGATCTACACCTTAAATAATAGTCCTCCAAAGAAAAAATAAAATAAATAGTTCAAATATTTTCTCTCAAAAAGATCATTTCTAGTTTTTTAAATTTATTTATTTTTATAGATTAGTAATCTATATGTTAAAAATTATATCTTTCTTAAAAATTGAGATTAATTTTTATTTTAAAAATAAATTATTAAGAGACCCGCATTTCTACATGTGAGTCCGTGGACTCATAAAAACCGTGTCCTCCTAATATTAACATACTATATCACCGTAACCAATAACCATTACATTTCGTAACCAAACCAGCGATTAGTCCAAACCTCGAACCTTTCGAGGCTCTATTTTAATGATGCGGACGCATGGAGGCTTACTGCGTCGTTGTCGATGCCGATCGCCATAAATGTCAGTCAAGCTCGACTTACTACCACAAAAGCAAAACAAACCGCAGTAATGTTGTGTATGGTTTTCCACCCCATATGTTTTTTCTATATCTCTCATCTCCCAGCCACACTAATCAGAGTGAATGCTTGAGATAATCCCAACCACAATATCATGCTTATATACTGTTTTATTTTTAATTTATTTTTATAAAATATTTTGATACTAAATTTGAGGTATTCACTCCTCTCTTAAACTTGTATTTGTAAAAATATAAAAAAATATTTTAAAAGTTTTATTAGTATTTTAGTCATTTGAATTTTTAAAAATATTTAATAATATTACTTTCTATTTAGAGATGATACATACCAAATTTTATTTTCCTATTATTTGTACAAAACAAATCAAACTAAAAACTATGAGACAGCAAATTTGGATCAAACGACTATTGGCTCACTTGTAACATTTTGAAACAAGTAACCTCAACCACCCATTTGAATTAGGAGGCTGGATAAGGAGGAAGTATATAAGAAGTATCGTACAGAAACTAAAAAGAATAGACATAATGGAAAGAGTCGATTTTTCTCTAAAATTATGCAGAACGTCCATCCCCCGTATTTTTTATTTTTCCCAGTTTGTCCCTACGTCAAATCAGTTTTTATTTTATATGTTTTCTTTCAAACATAGGGCTGCATCACTACGGCCTAGGGCCATACAGTGGTGTGAGGTCTAGCACCTCAGACTAGTGTCACTATGGCCAACAGAGTAGTCTGCCTGGGGCCACAAAAAAAGCGGTCCATCCAATGGCAATGTTCAATAAAATAAAAAAAATGCCATTAGTTAAAAAAAAAAAAAAAAAAAAAAAAAAAGAAAAAAAAAAAAAAAAAAAAAGAAAAGAAAGAAAGAAAACCAATTTGATGTTCTTAACATCATACCGAGAGGCACATTTTTTTTAAAAAAAAAAAAAATAAATAAAAAATGGAAAAAATTAAAAGAAAAAGAAAAAAAGAGTAGAACGACCTTCATGGTAGACCTCAACTCCGGATCTGCACATGAGTTCAAGGATGTCATTCGGTCGATCATGGCAGTGGCCGGTGCACCCAACCTTGCCGACTATTTCCCGATGCTTAAGGCCCTCGACCCAGGGGCTCAAGAGGCCCTGCACCAAACTCTTTGAAAGGTTACACCATTTTCTTATTGTGAAGATCGACGAACGTCCACAGTCCAGACAGAAAGGTGGAGTGGCAAGGGGCGACGTCATCGATGTTATTCTCGACAACCTTCTCGACTCTAACCAAGAGGACGGTGTGGAGTTCAGGCATAGTGAGATCTTAGCTCTGCTCATTGTAAGACAATACCATGGTCTTTGCTATGCTGAGAATCAAAAGTAAGCCACACAGGGGCAATATGGTTTGAACATCCACCATCCGTTTCTGCTGCAAACGGAGATTATCAACTCTAATTCCTATTGATGGTTGCTTTATAAATGGGAACAACTAGCATCCATTGTTCTTCACGAATGGATAGAGGATGTTCCTGTTGTGTATCATACTTTAATTAATGAAAATCAGTGTATGGTATAATCTTTTTTTATGTAAAATCGTGGTCCAACAGGTCCGAATGGAGGCATGTTCGGTGATGAAGTGCCTGACCCACCGGGGATCATTTCATGTCAACTCTGGCTTTGGTCTAATATCTCTCCATCACATATCATCCATTGGTCGATGGCATTCAGGTTGGGTCAACCCTAACGAGCTGACAGATCAACCCCATCCGAGTTTTAGAACAGTTATATAAGGGTGAGGCCCTTGACAATCAAATTAAGAAGCTCCTCAAAAATTTATTAAAAGAGGTTGTTTCGATGCCCAGAAATCCTTAAATCAATCATATCAATCTAAAGTTGTATGAACAAGATAAAAAATAAATTTCAAATCTTGGAAATAGTACATCATGTAATGCATTTTCTGGATCGTAAATTATCAAGATTTGCAAGTGTTCACATATCTATTTGGTCTACACTATTTTTGGAGCTTTTAATTTTATAAATGAACATGAAAATAAACTTCTAGGCTATCACAAAGATTTTTAGTACTAAAACAATATCTTTCAATATTATTTAAAGGTGCGCCTCACTTTGATTTTTTAGGGCCTCAGCCTTATACACACCACATGGGTTGGATTTGGGTCCAAAACTAGATCCAAATCTAATAATTTTAAAATATAAAATATTTTGATAAATTTGCCTACATAGTCATATACCATTTACCTTTGATACAAGGTGGTCACATTAATCTTGACCATTAGATGTGAAAGTTTTTCGAACTTTGTGACACATCCAAGCTATCAAATTTTAAGTTCAAAAAAAATTTCTCGAACTTTGTGATATATCCAAGCTATCAAATTTCACATCAAATGGTTGTAAGGAATTGTGACCACCTTGTATCAAAAGTAAATAGTCTTGTTGTATACATTTGATATATATATATATATATATATATATGGAAGATACTACAAAACGCCTATAGGAGAAAAAAAAACAGTGATTTCACCTACCCTCATCACCGTCCAAAGTTCATTGCACGGTCACGATTTTCTAGTAGTGTTTCATTTTACATTTTTTTTCTATAGATCAGAATGATCTGAAATTTGGATCATATGTTCATAAAAATAAGCGAATCTACCTAAAATATCAAAAAAATAGTTTAGATGAAATAAATTGACCAAAATACACCTGAAATGTTTCAGAAGTATTTTGGTTATTTTTTTACGAATTATTTTTTTTATATTTTTATTAAGTTCACCTCACTAAGATGTACATACGTTCCAAATTTCAGATTATTCTGATTTATATATATATAAAAAAAATAAAATACTACCAGACAATCGTGACCGTGCAATGAACTTTAGACGGTGATGAGGATATGCGAAATCACTGTCCATTTTCGCCTATAGGCTTT